CGTGACAAGAGGAAAATGTCGCAGCATAAGTCTTAATGGTGCTGAAGGCTAAACCTCTGTCCATCAACATCTGTAGGAAAGACAGAATGCAGGACAAGGAGCGGTGAACTGGATTTGCAGTTTTCCCTACACACTAGTGTTGAAAGGATGCGACTGTGGATGCTGCGCGCGCATCCTGGATGGTGCGCACCACATCAGTAGATTAACCCAGGTTTACTAAGCGTTCCGTTCAGCGGCCAGGCCCAGAGGGGCTGGCCCAGTTTCGGGAAGCTCCTGATCGCTCCTCCCGCCTGCAGGAGAGCGTCCTCCTGCCAGGGTAGCTGGAGCGGGAGGCCTGACAGTAATGACTGAAGGAATCGGGAACCAGTGCGCTCCCGTGCGCTCCGGAGCGATCAGAATAAACCGCCGGCGGTCTGCTCTGATCCGTTCCAGCAGTCGCGGGATCAGAGGGACAGGAGGGAAGGCATAAAGCAGCCTGTCCAGCCAGGGACGGTGCGCAAAGTGTCCACTCCCAGAGGAGGGTCGTCCCGTGAGCTCAGGGAGAACCAGAGGTCGCACTGTGCGTTTTCTCTGCTGGCGAACAGGTCCACTTCCACCTTGCCGAATCTGTCCCAGATTTGCGTAATTATGGTCATGTGCAGGGCCCAGTCCCCATCCTGGGGACCCCCCCCGGACATGATGTCTGCTCCCCTGTTCAGCACACCCAGAATGTAGACCGCTCAAATTGAACGCAAGTGGGTGTGTGTCCAGAGGAGCAGCTCTCTGGCTGTGTCCAGCAGCTGCCGGGAGCGTACCCCTCCCTGGCGGTTTATGTAAGCTGCTGCCACTTGTTGTCCGTGTGGACCAGAACATGCTGGTCCCGGACCAGATGAGTGAAAAAGGCACCAGCACTTTCCACACAGTCAGAAGTTCCAGAACATTTATGTGGGGGACAGGGTGGGCAGACCAGCGGTCTCCCACAGTCTGGGACAAGCACGTACCCCCACCGTGACAGTGACGCGTCTGTGAAGACCGGCACGTGATGTGTCGCTCTGCTCAGAGGGACTCCTGCTGACAGTGTGTGTGGCTTCCTCCAGTGGTTCAATCTGCCTCCACTGAGGAGGGGATCGATACGATCCTACACTTGTGGCGTATCGGATCGATCTTTAGCCGGGAGAACCGCCTGAGTGTCTCGTGTGTAGCAGCCCGGGTGGAACCACCGCGTGGGCTGCTGACATCATGCCAAAGAGACGCATGATGGTTAGAGCTGTCACTGACCTGTGGGGTCTGATATGCGCTAACAACGACAGCAGAGTCTCTTTTCTGGTTAGGGACAGATGAGCTGTCATGGTGACTGAGTTCAGATCTACACCCAAATATGTGATGGATTGGGCCGGAATGAGAGAACTCTTTTTTCAGTTTATGGAAAAAAAACCAGCATCCTTAGGTGTGCTGACAGTTTCTCCATCTATGACGCTGCTTCCTGTCTGGATGGAGCCAGCAGGAGCAAGTCGTCCAGATAAAACAGGATTCTCATTCCCGCTGAGCGCAGAGGCTGCAGTGCTGACTCTACGCATTTTTAGAAGGTGCGTGGTGCCAGTGCGTAACTGAGGTAGACGGTTGTACTGGTACTGAGTCTGCTGAAAAGAGAAACGCAGGTATTTTCTGTGCGCCGGGATGACCGGGACATGAAAATAAGCGTCTTTCAGGTCGATTGACGTGAACCAATCGCCTACCTGAACACATGTGAGCATCTGTTCGGTAGTCAACATGTGAAAAGGTCTTTTCAGTGTGAATTGTTGAAAAAACAGGAGATCCAGGATTGGTCTCATTGCACCCGTTTGGTGGGGACAAGGAAAAACCGGGAATGAAAACCCTCGTATTCCTTCCCACTTGGAACTCTGGAAAAGACTTCCTTGGTTAGGAGTTCCTGAAGCTCTGCTTGAAGAGCGAGATCCTGCTGAGGAGACGACAAGTGGGTCTCCAGGATCCTGCTGAAACGGGGAGGCTTGGTTGCAAACTGCAACCTGTAACCCATTTTTATCAAGTGCTTCATCCACTTGTCCATAGGACAGGTGTTTGCCCAGACGGAGCTGCGCTCTGAGAGAGCTCGCGCATGCGCSGGTTGTAGAACGGTTGTCGTAGCAACCGATCCACTCAAAGCCTTCGCCGCCGTCACGCTCTCTCGTGTGACCCATGGGAGGCTTTGCTCGAAGGGGCTGTGCAGGAGCTCCGAGGAGCCCTGCGTGCCGTCATGAATGCGGCCCGGGAGGGATTGCCTCCGGGGCCGTACGTGAGCATGAGTTAAGGCGAGTTTCAGCAGAGCCAAACACAGCGCTAACCGCGCGGCTGTGATTGGTGGATTATGCTGAAAACGAAGCGGGAGGGTGACACACCCCTGCTTGTGGTGTGGCTCATGC